AAAAAAAAAAAAAAGTAGACATTTTCCTAGAACATATGTTAATTTTTACTTTATGACTGCCTTATTTTAAAACTTTTGAAAAACCACTTTAAGGTGAAAAGGCATTTTACAATAGCATAGTCAGAATTTCCCCATTAACCAGGTATGATTTATCCTACACATGTAATAATAATGTAGATCAAAACAACCTTAACAGAAAAGGCCAAAACTTCCACTATTCCCTCTCCCTTCATTCTTGTGACCTAACTAAAACTGAACAAAATAAATGAAGGAAAAAAGATCATGATCTCAAATGCCCACAATTTTCCATTTCTTCCAAACTTAGAAGTCAACAACAGCATAAAAAAGGGATAAAGTGAGGAAGTTTTCTACAATGCTAATAACAAATGTAAAAAAAAAATAGACTGAAAGGTTTAACAATGTTTAAAATAAAATCTTACTACACAGAGTTAAAACATGATTAATGTTAATTATTCAAGTCCATTTACAACACATTTTAGTTTCATCCTATGAAACAATTAAAATATGAATTCATTATATTTTCCCTATCAGAACTCTTGATTCCAATTCTTTTTAGATATCATCCTATCATCAAAGTACAGTTTATATTTTAAAATGTACTTACATTGGCACAATAGTTGTTCCCAACAATTTATATTTTAATGAACCATTTTTAAGTAAACTTACCAAAAATTTAAAAAAACAGAACACAAGTCCATATTTTTAATTCAAGAAGTCTGTGGATTAGTTTGCTTTTTGGTTTGTTGGCTGTGGAGTGGAGGTAGGGATTTAAACCAAAATTCATTATTTCCAGGGCAGACTATACATGTGTATTATGCATTATTATACAAATCAGTTTTCTTTTTTTTTTTTGGAGAGAGTCTCACTATGTCACCCTCAGTAGAGTGCTGTGGCGTCACAGATCATAGCAACCTAAAACTCTTGGGCTTAAGTGATTCTCTTGCCTCAATCTCCCAAGTAGCTGGGACTATAGGCACCCACCACAACACCCAACTGTTTTTTTTTTCTATTGTTGCAGTTGTCATTGTTGTTTAGCTGGCCAGGGACAGATTTGAACCTGCTAGCCTGGGGTATGTGATGGCGCCTTGCCCACAGAGCCATGGGCACCGCCCAATAAGTCAGATTTCAAATTTCAGATTTGCTTTTTTTGGCAATGACTTCATTTTTTTTTTTTTTTTGAGGCAGAGTCTCACTTTGTTGCCCTTATTAGAATGCCATGACGTCATAGTCCACTCTTGGGCTCAAGTGATTCTCTCCCCTCAGCCTCCCAAGTAGCTGGGACTACAGGCGCACGCCACAACACCCAGCTATTTTTAGAGACGGGGGTCTCACTCTTGCTCAGGCTGGTCTCGAACCTGTGAGTTCAGGCAATCCACCCACCTGGGCCTCCAAGAGTGGTAGGATTATAGGCGTCAGCCACCTCGCCTGGCCTAATGCCTTCATTTGTTAACAAAATGGCCTATGTTTCTATCAAGTCCATTTACAACACATTCCACACAGAAATGATAATTGGGGGTAGAGGAGAGGATAGGGTGGGCTTCATGTAAAGCTGATAGGAGGAGCATTGTCCCATGGAATGATATTTAAGCTCCTCACCTCATTGATACTTTCTGTGCATGCCATTTCCCCAAATATAGGATTTCATTCATAATTTAGATTTTTTGTTCTAAGACAGATTCTCACTCTGCTGCTCCAGGCTAGAGTGCCATGGCACCAGCATAGCTCACAGCAACTTCAAACTCCCAGGTTCAAGTGATCCTCTTGCCTCAGCCTCACAGTAGCTACTTTTTCTATTTTTAGTAGAGATGGGGGTCTCACTCTTGCTCAGGCTAGTCTCCAACTCCAACAACTGAGCGCAAGTGATCCTCCTGCCTCAGCCTCTTAGAGTGCTAGGATTATAGGTGTGAGCTACCACACCCTGCCCATAATTTGGATTTTTATTTTTTTAATTTTTAATTAATTAATTTTTTTTGGAGACAAGAGACTCAAGCCGTTGCCCTGGATAGAGTGCCATGATGCATTCATAGCAACCTCCAACTCTTGGGCTCAAGCTATCCTTTTGCCTCAGTTTTTCTATTTTTAGTAGAGACGGGGTCTCCCTCTTGGCTCAGGCTGGTCTCAAACTCATGAGCTCAAGTGATCCACCATCTTGGCCTCCCACAGTGCTAGGATTACAGGCGTGAGCCACCATGCCTGGCCCCACAATTTGGATTTTTAAACCAGAAAGTTATTATGGTCGATCCAAAATAACACAAAGAACCTGCTAAAGTTCTATCAATAAGCAGGTTTTTATCAGAGGACTGAAAGAATTAAATAGAAGGCACAGTAGCACTGTAAAGCTTTTTCAGAGAATGATAATCTTTCTGTGTTTATGTGTGGAACCCAGACTTTCTTTTTTTTTTTTTGGTAAGCATGTCCATGGCACAATCAGAACATCTTTATTTGTCATCCTTCCCTTTGGTCTTTCTGTATACCATCTCTCGAAAACTGGCCAGAATCTTGTTCTCTCTCTTTCGTCTCTCTTCTTGGTTAAAGGATGCAAGGGCTCTCTTCTCATCAGCACTATAGATCTGGTTCTCTTTTCGCAGTCGCACAGCCTCCATTCGGCGATGCCTGGAGATAATTTTATTTTTGGCTTAATTTCTCAGTAATTATGTTCACAGCATGGCCTCATTGATCCTTTCTTTTTTTGAGACAGAGTCTCACTCAGTTGCCCTCGGTAGAGTGCCGTAGTGTCATAGCTCACAGCAACCTCAAACTCTTGGGCTCAAGTGACTTTCTTGCTTCAGCCTCCCACATAGCTGGGACTATAGGCACCCGCTATAACACCCAGCTGTTTTTACAGATGGTGTCTTGCTCTTGCTCAAGCTGGTCTCAAACTCGTGAGCTCAGGCAATCCACCTGACTCAATCTCCCAGACAGCTGGGATTACAGGCGTGAGCCACCACGCCCAGCCTTAGAAGCTGGTTTTTGAAATAGGTTAAATTTTCTTTCGTTTTTTTTTTTTTTTTTTTTTAGAGACAGAGTCTCACTCTGTTGCCCCAGGGTAGAGTGCCATGGAATCAGCCTCATTCACAGCAACCTCAAACTCTTGGGCTCAAGTGATCCTCTTGCCTCAGCCTCCCAAATAGCTGGGACTACAGGCGTCTGCCACAACACTGGCTATTTTTATTTTATTTTTTTTGAGACAGAGCCTCGAGCTGTCAGCCTGGGTAGAGTGCCATGGCATCACAGCTCACAGCAACCTCCAACTCCTGTGCTTAAGCGATTCTCTTGCCTCAGCCTCCCAAGGAGTTGGGACTACAGGCGCCCGCCACAATGCCAGGCTATGTTTTTGTTGTTGCAGCCATCATTGTTGTTTGGTGGGCCCAGGGTGGATTTTAACATGCCAGCTCAGGTGTATGTGCCTGGCGCCTTAGCCACTTGAGCCACAGGGGCCCAGCCAACACTGGCTATTTTTAGAGACGGGGTTTTGCTCTTGCTCAGGCTGGTCTCTAACCTGTGAGCTCAGATAATCCACCTGCCTAGGCCTTCCAGAGTGCTAGAATTACAGGCGTGAGCCACTTTGCCTGGCCTGCATTGCTTTTTATATTCAGTGATATAGGGTACTACTTTCATCTTTTTCCATATGGATAATAATTTCTTTCCTGTTCCATTTATTGAATAGTTCCTTCATTCCACAATGATCTGATATGCCATCTCTTTCATACACCAAAGCTCAAAACAGGTATGGTTCTGCGCTTGAGCTCTGTATTCCACTGAACAATTTGGTTGCTCCTTCATGCTTTCTAAAGCACTGTAAGTTTTGTAATAAATCCTCATATCTGGTAGGGTGAATCTCACTTTCCTGATCTTCTTCAGAAGTGACCTAGCTATTCTTGGCCTTTTACTCTAATATACATTTTAGATCTGGCTTATTAAATAAGTTTCATGAAAAACAATGTAGTGATTTTGTTCGGAATTGTAATTGAATCTATATATCAATTTGGGAGGAACTGTCAACTTGTTATTTTCTATGTAAACCGGTGGTTCTCAACCTTTCTAAGGCTGCAACCCTTTAATATAGTTCCTGTGGGTCGCAACCCATAGGTTGAGAACCACTGATGTAAACAATCATATTATTCACAAAAAAAAAATGACATGGTTATATCCTCCTCTTCTTTTTTTTCTTTTTTTGAGAGAGTCTCAAGCTGTTGTCCTTGGTAGAGCGCCGTGACGTTATAGCTCACAGCAACCTCAAACTCTTGGCCTTAAGTGATTCTCTTGCCTCCCAAGTAGCTGGGACTACAGGCACCCACCACAATGCCTGGATTTTTTTTTTTTTTTTTTTTTTTTGAGACAGAGCCTCAAGCTGTCCCCCTGGGTAGAATGCCGTGGCATCACAGCTCACAACAACCTCCAACTCCTGGGCTTAGGCGATTCTTCTGCCTCAGCCTCCCAAGTAGCTGGGACTACAGGCGCCTGCCACAACGCCCGGCTATTTTTTGTTGCAGTTTGGCTGGGGCTGGGTTTGAACCCGCCACCCTCAGTATATGGGGCTGGCGCCCTACTCACTGAGCCACAGGCGCCTCCCAATGCCTGGATATTTTTTTGGCTGCGGTTGTCACTGTTGTTTTAGCTGGCCCGGGCTGGGTTCAAACCTGCCAGCCTCCATGTATGTGGCTGGCGCCCTACCCACAGAGCTATAGGTGCTGCCACATCCAGCTATTTTTAGAGACAGGGTCTCACTCTTGCTCAGGCTGGTCTTGAACCTGTGAGCTCAGACAATCCACCGCCTGGGCCTCCCAGAGTGCTAGGATTACAGGCATGAGCCACTGCACCCAGCCCCTCTTTTCCAATTTTTATGCTTCTGATTTCTTTTTGTCTCACTGCGCTGGTCCTCTGATACAACGTTTCAAATACTGGTCCTCAGAATTCCAAGATTTTGGAAGTATTTTAGGGGTTCTACAAATATTTTCCCCCATGTCATTTAAATAGTTATTTACTTTAAAAAGTCTGTAAAGTTTTAAAGAATCTAAACTCCACTTTGATCTCAGCATATTCTTCTGGTTCTTCTTGGTACTTACTTTGCTTTCTTTTCCCTAATTTTGTATTCATTTCTCCATGCCAACCTGATGGCTTTCATACTCCTTTCATGCTATTTATTCTTAGAACCCTGGGTCCACAGAAAATAGGAGGCACACTTGCAAACCAGGATATACATTCTTGTGAAAATGCTTCCCTAAAAATACCACATTCCTCAGTGATAGATGAATTTAACTATGTCTTCCAGTGGATAAAATATCTGTACCAAAACATCGACTAGGAAAAAGCACTGGAAAGACTGAAGTTGGAGATACAGCTGAGTTTGAGCATCACTTGCAAATATATTTGGAATTTTAGACACCCATGCTTATACCAATAAAACTAGTATCAATTATGTATACTCTATTTTTCATTAGGAATAGTCACTTAATGGAAATTAGTCACAAAAATATAATTCTGGTAATAATAAAGAAGGAAAAGATCTAATCATGGAAACTGACTTAAATGCCAACAAACATACCTGCTACCACTCATTACGTAACCTGAACATTCAAACGATGCGATTTCTTCACTTGTCAAACCAATTTCACCTCTTCGTGGGATACGTTTTCCAGCTTTTACATATTCAGCCATAGCAGCACCTTCACCAGGTAACAAAGCATGGCCATAGCTACAAAGTAATTCAGAATTCAAAAAAGATCCGTTAAACCATCTCAATATAAAAAGCATATCATCTAATGAGAGCACAATAAAAAATTTTCTCCCAGACAAGAGTAGAAATAACAATGTTCAGTACTAGTGTTCTGGGAAGCCCAATATGAATTATTTTATTTTAATTAGTGAACGTTGCACTAAGACCTGTATAACTAACCCAGAAATGTAGAAATATTTTGGACGAACGAACAAAAGAAGTGATGTTAGTGAATGCAGATTAATGGTTTACAATTATGGATTAATTTACCCCTATAGGTATTGACATTATTGGTTCTATCTCTAACTGATTCCCTTTCATTTTCCCTTAAAAAATCCAAAGTAAACAAATAATTTATCTCAAATTAACATACTTTTTCGATTTATAACCAATAATAATTCTGTACCTCAACAATTATCAATTAACTTTCCTTCAAAGGATTTTTGTTTTTTGGGACAGAATCTCACTTTGTCACCCTGGGTAGAGTGCCATGGTGTCACAGCTCACAGCAACCTCACACTCTTGGGCTCAAGCAATCCTCCTGTTTCAGCCTCTCAAGTGGCTGGGACTACAGGCACCTGCCACAATGTCTGGCTATTTACTGTTTTAGAGATGGGGTCTTGCTCTTGCTTAGGCTGGTCTCAAACTCATGAGCTCAGGCAATCGACCTACCTTGGCCTCCAGAATGTTAGGATTACAGGCATGACCCACTGCTCCTGGCCTCCTTCAAGGAGGCCCTTCATTCAATTCAGTGAATGTTTCTTGCATATCTATTAAATTCAAAGCTTGTAAAACAAAAATAATCTGTCCTTGGCTTGGCACCTGTAGCATGGTGGTTACAGCGCTGGCCATATGCACCCAGGTTGGCGGGTTAGAGCCTGGCCCAGGCCAGCTAAAGAACAATGATAACTGCAACAGGAAAATAGCCAGGCATTGTGGCGGGTGCCTGTAGTCTCAGCTGCTGGGGAGGCTGAGGCAAGAGAATCGCTTAAGCCCAAGAGTTTGAGGTTGCTATGATCTATGACGCCACAGCACTTTGCCAAAGGTGACATAGTGAGACTCTGTCTCAAAAAAAAAACAAAAAAACAAAACTGTCCTTGTGAAGTTTACATATTAATAAGATTATAACTGCAACGCAAGGTAAAATATATAATACATTACATAACACAAATAGAAAATTCTGTGAAGATTAAAAGAGATTAGAAATCACACCTAATTGTAGAGGAGATATATGGAGGATGAGCATATGCCCCTCCTTTTGAAAAGGGCTTTGAAGGATGGAAAGGATTTTAATAGAAAGAAACTAGGGGTAGAAAAGAAAACAGAAAGCAGAGAAAAGAAAGGAAGGCATGTTGAGGGAGAAGAAACAAGTTGAACAGGCACAAAAGTGGGAAAGTGCACAGGGAACTTTTAGGAGCTCAGCTCTGTTGGAGCCTGGGTTATAAATAAGGGAATAAAGACAGATAAGCCTGGCAAGGTTAAGTTAGAAGCATACTTTTTGGAAGGTACTTTATATATTATAAATTTACTGTGCTACTTACTTCAAAGGTTTATCATCTTGAGAAGCAAGTGTTTTCGGAGCCTCTGGGCCAATTAAATCTGAGGGTTCTTCAGTCTCTGTATGAAAGATGTTCAGAAACACATTCACATTTTAACTACTCAGTTACTTTCATGTTTCATCTGTTCTAAGTTAAAGTCTACCAGAAGAACCTACTTGATCTATCCTTCCAGGGATTCTCCAGAAACTCTTCTTGGGAATCTTTAGAGCTTGAATCACTGGATTCTTTTCTGCTCTTCTTAGACTTCTTTTTCTTGTATTTCTTCCTGTGGGGATTATAATTTGATACAAATTTATTCACTATTCCCATGTTAAAGGGAATGGGAATATTAAGGCAATGAAAGGTAAGACATTAAAATGACCTGTATTCCTAGCTTAAACTTGCTAGAAAATAATAATAAAAAAATCTTCTAACTAGGCCTGGGGAGGTGGCTCAAAGGGTGCCAGCCCCATATGCTGGAGATGGTGGGTTCAAACCCAGCTCCGGCCAGAAACTGCAAAAAAAAAAAAAAAAAAAGAATGCCAGAGGGACTTTACCTAACAAATGCAATCAGTGTATCCTTGTCTCTTGTACCCTCAATGAATTTCCAACAATAAAAAAAAGAAAAAAAAAGAATGCCTATCTTTAAAAGAAAGGTAGTAAATTATTTATAGATGGAATAATATATCTGAGTGGTTCCAAAATAAATGAAGGACAGTGGTGACTGCCCATGAGTTGGTAATTGTTCAAATTGGGTGATGGGTACATGGGGGATAATTACACTACTTTATGTACTTTTATATATATTTGAACTTTTTTATAATAAAAAAAATCAAAGAAAAGACTGACGATCTGTGTTTCTTCTTCCTTTCCTTCTTCTTGGCTTTCTTGGCTCTCCTTTTTGTATCTTCATCTGCAAAGTAAAGTACATTATAATTGAGAAAGAGGTTTAAACTCTAAACCCCCAATACTTTTGAGTAGATAAATATCCCATTGCTTTGCAATATTTGTTGTTATAGAGAAAGTAATTCACTGAAAAATTTATTGCTATTTGTCAGAAACTATAGTAGGCACTGGGGACACAGAAATTAAAGGTAAACTAGGTATTAGGTTATAAAGGGTATTATTATTAATTTTATTGTGTAAGACAGTATTGTGCTTAAGTAGTAAACTATCTTATTTTGCAGAGATGCACACTGAAATATTTAGGCCAGAAGTGTGATGATATCTGTAATTTACTTATTTACTTTGAATATCAGCAAAAAACCCTTATTTGTGGTTCGGTGCCCGTAGCACAATGGTTATGGCGCCAGCCACATGCACTGAGGCTGGTGGGTTCAAACTCAGCCCGGGTCAGCTAAATAACAATGACAACTGCAACAAAAAATAGCCGGGCATTGTGGCAACTGCCTACAGTCCCAGCTACTTGGGGGGCTGAGGCAAGAGAATTGCTTAAAACCAAGATTTTGAGGTTGCTGTGAGCTGTGACACCACGGCACTCTGCTAAGGGTGACATAGTGAGACCCTGTCTCAAAAAAAAAACAAACAAAAAAGGGAATATGTTAAAATACTAACAGCTGTTAAATTTGGGTAATAAGAATACAGTATTATACTATTCTCTTTACTTTTCTGAACATTTGAGACCTTGTCTCTAAAAATAGCTGGGTGTTGTAGTAGGCGCCTATAAGTCCCAGCTACTGGGGAGACTGAGGCAAGAGAATTGCTTAAGTCCAAGAGCTTGAGGTTGCTGTGAGATAAGACGCCATGGCACTCTACCAAGGGCAACAAAATGAGACTGTCTCAAAAATAAAAAAGAGAAAATTACACGTAACAACTCTTCTACTGGGCTGATATAGCACAGTAAGGCTTATTTCGGTTCAGCCCCACCCCCTAACTTGGTCTGGTACCACATGCCTCATAAAACTATGCAAAACCCACCTGGAATCAGATTGCTTAGCTTTGAATCCCAATTGTTTGACTGTGGAAATTGTATTTATGACCTGCTCTGTTTCTCTACTTCCTCATCTATAAGATGTACCCTACAAATACTGTATGGAGTAAATGGCAATAATAAATACACATAAAGCACTTATTAGGGTGCCTTACACAAAGTCAGCAAATATTCAAAAAACTCTTCAGTAATGGGCCAGGCACAATGGCTCATGCACCTCATGCTGAGGTGAGATCACCTGAGGTCTGGAGTTGGAGACCAGCCTGAGCAAAGTAGAAAAAATAAGCAGGGTGGGCAGTGCCTGTGGCTCAAAGGAGTAAGGCGCCAGCCCCATATGCTGGAGGTGGTGAGTTCAAACCCAGCCCCGGCCAAAAACTGCAAAAAAAATATAAAAAAAATAAGCAGGGCATGGTAGCATGCACCTGTAGACCAAGCCACTCAGGAGGCTGAGGCAGGAGGATTGCTTTAGCCCAGGAGTTTGAGGTTGCTATGAGCTAGGCTGAGGCCATGGCATTCCAGCCTAGGTGAGAGAGTGAGACTGTCTTAAGAAAAAGAGCAAACAAAAGCAAAAACAAAAACTTCTTCACTATTATTATTGTTGTTTAGGAAATTTCTTCTAAAGTAAGTTTTAAGTTTTAACAAGTAAAACTAGGCCAGGCATAGTGACACATGTCTGTAATCCCAGCTCATCAGGAGGCTGAGGCAGGAGGCTCAGTTGAGCCCAGGAGTTGGAGGCTGCAGTGAGCTATGATAACATCACTGTACTCCAGCCCAGGCAACAGAGTGAGATCCTATCAAATAAAATAAAATAAAATAAAGTAAGTAAAATTAGTTTGAAGCAAAGGTTGCAGAATGTTGGCTTTCTTACCACTAGAGTCTGTTTCAGAATCAGAGTCACTGTCACTATCTTCAGAATACTTCTTGTGTTTTCTTTTAGATGTTTTTTTCTTTCTCTTTTTCTTGGACCTTTCTTTTGAATGACTGGATTTCTTCTTCTTCTTTTTATCTTCTATAGAAAATACAAGTAAAAAACATAAAAAACTAACTCCTAAAAAGTATTTCTGAGTATCAATTTTATTTTATTTGAAGTACTGAAAAGGAATAGATGATGGGTAATTTGAATAAACAAAAAATCTAACGTTCAACTATTTATGAATTTATCTTTCTAAACTTCTCAATAGATAGCTTTGTATTTAAAAAATACCTTCTGACTTGGCACCTGTAGCTCAGTGAATAGGGCGCCTGCCACATACACTGAGGCTGGTGGGTTCAAGCCTGGTCCGGGTCCGCTAAACAACTATGACAAATGCAACCAAAAAATAGCCAGGCATTGTGGCGGGTTCCTGTAGTCCCATCTACTTGTGAGGCTGAGGGAAGAATTGCTTAAGCCCAAGAGTTTTAGGTTGCTGTGAGCTGTGATGCCATAGTACTCTAACCAAGGGCAACATAGTGAGACTCTGTCTCAAAAAAATAAATAAATAAAATAAAATAAAAATAAAAAATACCTTCTGAAGTAGATGCTGAAGAAGTGCTTTTCTTTGGTTCTTCGTCCTCTACTGGTGTATGTTCATCAGAGCTGAATTTAAAGAAAATGGTTATATATATTAGTAAAATGATGAGATATGAACCATGGAATGTAAAATTATGGGTTCATATTTTTTAGTAAGAGCACTGATTGTCCAAGAACCATTAAAAGCAAGCATTGGATTACTTTTGTAAGAGTACAATTCAAGGGTCTAGCACCTTTGTAATAACATAAATTACACTTGCATTAATGCTTTACAGTTTAAAAAGTGCTATTCCAACAAAAAAGCATGGAAAATTTATATTTTCAGAAGAAATTACAGTGAAAAAGTAGGTAAGTAGGAATCATAAAGATACAGAAACTGGATATAAAGCAGGTGAGGGAAGACTTTATAATTTTATTCTAAGTATAAAAAGGACATATGGTAGAACAACTATTTTGTTTCTTCAAAGCAAGAAGAATCCAACAAATAACAGTATAAAGAAATTTCTTTCAGCTGGGCATGGTGGCTCACACCTGTAATCCCAGCACTTTGGGACGCTGAGCTGGGTGGATTGCTGGAGCTGGTGAGTTTAAGACCAGCCTGAGCAAGGGTGAGACCCTGTCTCTATTAAAAATAGAAAAACTTGCTGAGCATTGTGGTAGGTGCCTGTAGTTCCAGCTACTTGGGAGGTTGAGGCAAGAGGACTGCTTGAGCCCAAGAATTTGAAGTTGCTGTGATGCCACAGCACTCTACCCAAGGTGACAGAGTGAGACTCTGTCTCAAAAAGAAAAATAAATAAAATAATAAAGAAATATCAAGGGTGGCAGGTTCAAACCCAGCCCCAGCCAAACTGCAACAAAAAAAATAGCCAGGTGTTGTGGCAGGGGCCTATAGTCCCAGCTACTTGGGAGGCTGAGGCAAGAGAATCACCTAAGCCCAGGAGTTGGAGGTTGTTGTGAGCTATGTGACACCACGGCTCTCTACTGAGGGTGGTAAAGTGAGACTCTGTCTCTACAAAAAAAAAAGAAAAAAGAAAGAAATTTCTATTTGTTATAGAGAATTCTGAAAATTAGTATTATTAAAGTTCTATGATAGTTTGGGTTGGAAAGGGAACTTCCATATCATATAATCTTTTCCTTTAAAGATCACACTTAGAATAATTCAGATATTGTCCAGAAAATTATTTTTAGGGTTTCTCCCAACTTTTTTTTTTTTTTTTGCAGTTATTGGCCAGGGATGGGTTTGAACCTACCACCTCCGGCATATGGGGCCAGTGCCCCACTCCTTTGAGCTACAGGCGCCACCCTTCTCCCAACTTTAATTACATGAATTCAGGCTCTTTGTTTTCTAAAGGTATCCATAAGAACAAGTTTCAGATAATAATCCTTTATCATTCTGTCACAAATTAAAGGTTTACCTGTCAAGCACATTATCTCATTTCAATCTAAAGTAAACACAGAAATACAGGAGAAGGAAGAAGAAACTTAGAAGTAGCACCACCAAAGAGAATAATAGGCAAAAAGAAAAAGCATTAAGCCTTTGAATAGTATTATATATAGGAAAATCAATTGGAAAAAACCACACTGGTATATTCATTTTTTAAAAACGTCCCTATTATGCTAGTATCTGGCATGCAATCTGCTACTGGGTTGAGAAAATAAATTCAAAGTAATATAAATGTATTATGAGTAGAGGGAGGGTAATTGGTGGGACCACACCTATGGTGCATTTTGCAAGAGTACATTTCAAATCTATTAAGTGTAGAGTATAAATGTCTTCTTAACACAATAATTAAAAAAGTAAGGTGAAGGCTACGTTAACCAGTTTGATGTAAGCATTCCAAATTGTATATAAAGCCAGCATATTGTACCCTATAAATGCACTAATATATACAGCTATGATTTAATAAAAAATGTATTATGTGTTTTAACACTGAATCTTTCTATGAATAGGACATTAGCACTCTACGAATTACAATTTAAAGAGAACTGTTAGCATGTTAAAATTTATTAGCGCTATACATATATATACATTTTTTTTTTTTTTTTGCAGTTTTTGGCTGCGGCTGGGTTTGAACCCGCCACCTCTGGCATATGGAGCTGGTGCCCTACTCCTTTGAGCCACAGGTGCTGCCCCAGCAATATGTTTTAATATTTAGATAGGTTTCATATTTTTAAAACTTAAGGGATCAAAGGGAATAAATCACAAGAAAGAAAAACATAAGATGTACTTAAGGCTCTTTAATGAACAAAAATTTTAACAATAGACTCAAGATTTAAATAAATGTCATAAGATATTTTTAAAAGTTATTTTCAACCACTTACTCTGGTTCCGGATTCTTTGGAGAAAGTCCCCATACTTCAGGAGCTCCCAACTCTCCAATTCTTTCCCTTTCACTTAATCTCCTAGAATAGAGACAAGTAAATTATAACTCAATGGCAGAATTACTTCTTAAATACATAGTCAAATTCAACAGGAGTCCAGTTAACTTCTATTTTCCCTTTATATTTTAAACACTAATAAAAACTTGGTATAAATGTAAACTCATCACTTAGGATTTGATGTTCTTACAATACTATCAAATGGTATAGATGGCAGAAATGATAGCCTGCGAGACTGTCAAGTGCATCTCTTCTGCCAAATGAATGACATAGCTTCTAATTGCTCATTCAACATCTGTAATATTTAACAGAAAGTTATGCATTTGGAAATAACTTCATTTGTTTATACATGTATAGGAAAGTAAAGAGAAGTCTCCTTTGATCTGGTCAAATCTTCAGTTCTCAGAAGCCCAGGAATTATTGAAGGTAATAAAAAGGGCTGCATTAGAAGTACGAAATAGAATTCTGAAGATAAAGAAAAGTTTTACTTGCCAAAAGGTGTACTCAGTGATATACAGTATTTATTCCCTTTTCCTTTCAGGTACTTTTGGGAAAAAGGAATACATTCTCTATTTACTCTTTGGAGGACACTGAAATCCTTTTCTTCTTTTGTTTTATAATGTTTGTGGTTTCCGTTTTATTTTTTGCTATTATTCATAAACTGAAGCCAAAACAAAAAATTAAGGTTCAATTTCTAAAGGTTTAGCTGCTTATGATTCTATCTTTTTTTTTTTGAGACAGAGCCTCAAGCTGTCCCTCTGGGTAGAGTGCTGTGACATCACAGCTCACAGCAACCTCCAACTCCTGGGCTCAAGCGAGTCTTCTGCCTCCACCTCCCAAGTAGCTGGGACTACAGGCACTCGCCACAACGCCCAGCTATTTTTTGGTTGCAGCCATTATTGTTTGGTGGGCCGGGCTGGATTTGAACCCACCAGCTCAGGTGTATGTGGCTAGCACCTTAGCCACTTGAGCCATAGGCGCCAAACCATGATTCTCTATCTTAATTTACAAAAAATTGATTTGTTTGAATAAATTATTTTCCTTTTTTTTTAAAATCAGAGACATGGTCTCCCTCTATCACCCAGGTTGGAGTATAGTACTAATAGCTCACTGTAACTTCGAACTCCTGGGATCAGGCAATCCTCCTGCCTCAGGCTACCTTGTAGGACTACAGGCACTCACCACTATCTATGCCCAGGCAATTTTTAAATTATTTTGTAGAGAGCCCAGGCTGGTCTCAAATTCCTAGTCTCCAGTAATTCTCCTATCTCAGCCTCCTACAGTGGCATTGCAGGTATAAGCTACTGTACCTAGCCAATTTTCTATTCCTTCTTTTCAGGATAAAAGGTATGGTAACTATGCAGCGTCAGACTCAGGGTTTCCCTCTTGAAGAAATAATCTAAAAGGGGGCATACTTGTAAATGTACTTGGAATTTATGTCTATATGGGTAAGAATGCCCACCAGACTACAAAGAACACTAAGTCCTGTTTTCATATCAGTTCTCACTTGGCTTCATCAGTATTGTTAAACTAAATTATTTATCTATTCATCTTCTTCTTTTTTTTTTTTTAGGGTCAGAGTCTCACTTTGTTGCCCTCGGTAGAGTGCCATGGAGTCACAGCTCACAGCAACCTCCAGCTCCTGGGCTTAGGTGATTCTCTTGCCTCAGCCTCCCAGGTAGCTGAGACTACAGGCACCCATCACAATGCCGGCTATTTTTTTTGTTGCAGTTTGGCCGGGCCAGGTTTGAACCCACCACCCTCGGTATATGGGGCTGGCATCCTACTCACTGAGCCACAGGCGCCACCCATATTTATCTTCTAAATGTATAAATATAAATTTCATCCAAGGATTTCTAACATTTTTTGAGGATTCTCCAATTAGGAGCCATTTGCTTTTTGATTAAAATAGCCTGCGGGTATCTTTCTGAAAAATTGAACTAGAAAGATAGGTCTCCAACACTAACTCAGGACTGTTTTTATTGTTTCTGCTCCCATGCTTGAAGCACTAATATGCCCCAAACTAACATTTTTAGCATATTTATTATGTTCTAGGAATTACATTATTATAACCCTAAAAGTCTTGGTACTAATCTTATCCCCTTTTAATGAAGAAATGAAACTCAGAAAGGTTAAGAAACTTGCCCAAAGTCACACTGATATTAAACAACAGATAAAGGCTTCAAAGTCTAGCAGTCTGATTGTGGAGCCTGTCCTTTTCATCACTGTACTACTTCTCACTGATGGAAGAAAAAGAATCACATCTCTCAACTGTTGAAACTTTAACTTGCCCCTCAATGCCTCTAATATTTCTCAAGTTCTTTTTTTTAGAACACATAGTGCATGTAAACACTATGTTTACATTAGTTTAGTGTCTGACACATAACTTGACAGGTTTTTTTGGGGAGACATAGTCCCACTTTGTCATCCTCAGTAGAGTGCTATAACATCATAGCTCACAGCTCAAACTCTTGGGCTCAAGTAATTCTCTTGTCTCAGCTTCCCAACTAGCTTGGACTACAGGTGCCTGCCACAATGCTCAGCTATATTTAGAGACCAGGTCTTGCTCTGGCTCAGGGTGGTCTTGAACTCATGAGCTCAGGCAATCTACCCACCTGGGCCTCCCAGAGTGCTGGGATTACAGGTGTGGGCCACTATGCCCAGCCTCACATAATTTGACAGTTAATAAACATTAGATATTAAGACTTACACAGCAATAATTACAAGCCTTTTCCTTTATTCTTATTTTTCCATTCCAATAGTCATTCCCATTGGAGGAGATGTGATCTCATCCTGGCATCATTTTTCATCATCTAGATTGAGAGCTTTAACCTTTGTCAAAGTAGTGTCGCTTAGCAGATCACTTTTCCTACGTTTTATCTAATCATTTTGCCTGAGGGAAAGGTTTTCCTCCTCTCCAATTTATTTATTTATTTATTTATTTATTTTTTTGAGACAGAGCCTCAAGCTGTCCCCCTGGGTAGAGTGCTGTGGCATTACAGCTCACAGCAACCTCCAACTCCTGGGCTCAAG